AGAAAAAAAATGAAAATGAAAGACAGCACCCCCAGACCCTGTACCACTGGGTAACTGGTACACAGAATGGTGACCCCAGAGCCACCCAGCAAAGGGAACTTCCCCGCATGTCCACAGTGCCAGCATCCCATGGGCCACTCCAGAAACACTCAGGTAGGGATAAGCATTTCAGTGCCACTCTGCAGCTGCCCCTGGAACCCAGCATCAAACCTGACACCTAAGTCACTGCCAAGGTTCCTGTCTGGATCCCAGCCAGGGCCGGCTCTACTCCAGACCCTTTCTGAACCTGCCAGGGGCCCTGATGACCAATTCCGCACGGACCACATGCTGCCACATCTCCAATTTGTTCTGTTCACTGTACACAGTGAATTGTTTTAAATGGAGACACAGTCAGGCACAGTGGCATGCACCTGTCATCCCAGCACTCAGGAAGCTGAGGCAGGAGGATCTTTGCCAGTTCAAGGCCAGTCTGAGCTACTAAGTAAGTTCAAGGCCAGTCTGAACTACACAGCAAGACCCTGTCTCAAAAAACCAATAAACGGGGGCTGGGGATTTAGCTCAGCAGCATAAGCACCTGCCTTGCAAGCAGGCGGTCATGAGTTTGATCCCCGGTACTGATAAAAAAAATTAAAAAAAAAAAAAAACAATAAACATGTCAAGCACGGTGGTACACCCCTGTTATCCCAGCACTTGGGAGGCTGAGGCAGGATGATTATTATGAGTTCAAGACCAGCCTGGGCTACAAAGTGAGCTCAAGGCCAGCCTGAACTGCATAGTGAGACCCTGTCTCAAAAAACCAATAAACAAATAAATAGATGAATGGTGCGACACCAGCTCTATCTAGTCCCAGAGCACCACCTCCACTATCCTATAGACCCCTTGCCCCCTCGCAGCTGATCCTCGACCCCCACTTTCTCTGGATAGCAATGGTGTGCCACATAAATGACACTTCCACACTCTTCCATGTGCATCTCAACAGGGGGCTTGGCCAGCACACCTCAGGGAGGATGAGCAAAGATCCTTAGTGTGACAGCCAAGGAAGGAGCCAGGCGCTGTGCCAAGTGCTTAGCTTGTTACTGCTCTAATGTTAGTGGCAGTCCCAGGAGGTGTCATGCCATAGTGTGACCCTGAGGTACACAAGAGAAAGCCAAAGCCAAGGCACTGAGTGGGTTAAGGGGACCCACTGGAGGAGTGACCCCAGGCTGTTGGCCAATAGATTCATCGCACTGATCTGCAGCCACTGTCACCTTTGTTTGACCCACCAGGACGCTAAAGGGACTTGCATTCATCAGTCTTGCTTTGTCTACTCAGATAAACTTAGTTCCAATCCAGTCTTCCACAGACTAAACGGGTCTCAGGGAGTTTTGCAACCTCTCTGGTCCTCAAGTTTTTACTTTCCTTGGGTTTTTTAAGACAGGGTCTCACTATGTAGTCCAGACAGGCCTTGAACTTGTGACAATCCTCCTGCCTCAGCCTCCTTAGTGCTGGGATGACAGGTGTGTACCATCATGACCGGTAACTGTTCATTAGTTTTCAACGCTGCACATGAAGGGTCACCAGGGACATCAGGAGGGAGTGAGGCTCATGGTACCAGCTCTGCAGTTGGCATGAAGGGGAATCACTTTGGAGGTGCTGGGACCTGGTAGGTAGGAGGCACTTAAGAAACTGAGTGGCAAGTAACATCTACCTGTACCCATGAGATTCCCTGTCCCTGCTGCTCCAAGAACAGCCTAGATGCATTTTCTGTGTTATGCTTCCTCACAAGGAATGAGATCATTATGTACTGCAAATGTGTACTAATACAATAAAGATTAAAAACAAAACAAAAAAACAGAACAGAGGGGGCTGGGGATTGAACTCAGTGGCATAAGCACCTTCCTTGCAAGTGTGCAGTTGTGAATTCGATTCCTGGTTCCAATGAAAACGAAAAAGACAAAAAAAAAAAAAAAAAAAAAAAAAAAAACCAAAAACCAAAAACCAAAAACCAAAAACCAGAACAGAGCCAGGCATGGCGGTGCATGCCTGTCATCTCAGCCCTGGGGAGGCTGAAGCAGGAAAATGCTGTGAGTTCAAGGGTAGCCTGGGCTACACAGCAAGACCCTGTCTCAGAAAAATAAAAGGACAGCTTCTCACTTGTGTAGGCACAGATAGGTGGCACACCTGGTCTTGGACGATGCTGTACTAGAAAGAAGGTGACCTCCCAGGAGCCCACTGTGCATCCCAACTTACCCGTCATCACACCCACCACTGTTCTGCAAACCTTGTGCCTCATTCAGGGGACCAGAACCAAATGCACAGTGACCCAGGCCTGGACCAGGATCACCTGTTGTCCCTCCCCAGCACTGCCCAGACCTGGGGGAAACTGTCAATGCAAAAATCCTGTTTGCCATCTTATTGTGGACAAAAGATTCAGAAATCTGAGTTCCTATCTTGAAACCAAAACTGTATCTGGTTCAGCGGTTTTGGTTTTCTCTTGGGTTTTTGGTTTTGTTTTGTTGTGACACTTTTGGCTGGCCTTGAAGTTATTATATAGTCTAGGCTGGTCTCAAACTCAGGGGAATCCTCCTGCTTCAGCCTCCTGGGTGCTGAGATTACAGGTGTGTGCCACTGCACCCAGGTTTTTCCTGTTGCTTGGGTTTGGTTTTTGGTTTTATGAGACAGAATCTTGCTACATAGTTTAGGTTGGCCTTGAACTCTTGAGTGCTGGAATCATGACTGTACACTATCTTGTCTGTCAGTTCAGAAAACTTACTTTAAATAAAGATCACTGGTTTGAATGCAGGATCTGGTTATTTCAGGATATGTGGCTAGCGTCCTCACATCTGGAAAGAATGGCACACGTCACTTCAGACCTGGAAAGCTATGGAGGCGATTACAAGACACACAGCTTCTGCAGTACCCATCGAGCACTCGGGGTGACAGCTGGTAAACAGGCTGCAGATGGATACATCCTGAGTTCCCAGAGACAGCTGTGTTCACTACTAGGCACTCTAGGGAACCGCATAAGGGTCTAGAGTTCAACTGCCTGAAGCTGCTGAACAGCAGCCGCAGGACACCTGCAAGGACCGTGGAGTCAGACAGGCTTGGCATCACATGCCTACTGTGCCAATCAATCTGAGAGCACCAAGGCCCCTTAAGGTTCATCTCTCTGTGCCAATTTCCTCAGCTGGAAAAAGGTGGTGGTGGGGCTCAATCTCCTCTAGCATCTCCTAATTCAAACATGAAAGTTCCCCAGGCACAGTGGTACATCCCTGAAACTCAAGCACTTTGGAAGGCTGAGGCAGAAAGATTGCAAGTTTGAGCCTACCCTATATAACTTAGCAGAACAGTATCCTTTAAAAAAATTTAAAGGCCAGGGATGTAGCTCAATGTGAAAGTTTTTGGCTCAATGCTCAGTAGAGGAAAGAAAAAGCAAACATATGAGACTTCACCACTTATATTCCACTTTAAAAATTCCCATGTCATTTGACACTATGAAATGATCGCAATAGTTGCTCACCCCTATGTGTGGGTTTTTTTTTTTTTAATTTTGGTTTGGTTTTTTGAGAAAGGGTCTTACTATGTAGTTCAGGCTGCCTTGAACTTAAGTCATATACTGACCTCAAGGCTGGCTTCAAACTCATAGCAATCCTCCTGCCTCAGCCTCCCAAGTACCAGGATGCACCACTTCGCCCTGCTCTTTCTGAGGTTTTGTTTTCCACAGTTCCAGATATCCATGCTCACAAAAAACTCTCATTTTACACTGTACAACATTTTGTGTAGCATAAAATCCACGTGCCATCCCACCCCAGGCAAGCTCGAATGTGAACGCCCTTTTTTGCCTAGGGTATTCACCATGTGTACACTATGCTCCCATTAGGCACTTGGTACAGGTGGGAAGGCCAGAGGAATTCAAGCACGACAGGGCAAGGCTACAGTGCATATGATGAAAACATGGCAGAACTATGACCTGACACCACTGGTGCTTTCCCGGGTATCAGCCTGGTGGCAGACCAGCTGGCACATGTGCAAGGCTCCGGGTTCCAGCCCAAGTGCCGAAAAACACAAGCACTGTGGTTTTAGGCGTCCCCTGGAGGTCTTAGATAAAGGGGGGAGTACTGTATGCTTTTCTCTTCAAATACAGGTTATTAAACAGCACACAGATGTTATTCCCTATGGGAAACCTGAAAGAAAAATTCAACAATACTTCATGGCTGTAACTTGCTTTATTTTTATTTTTTCTTCCCGGCGCTGATAATGTATTTCAGATTTAATATCTGTGCTTGCTTCCACCATCAACAGAAGGTCCGCCCCACCGAGAGAGCCTCAGTTTGGGTCACCTGCGTGTCACAGTCCTGTCCCAGAGCCTGGCCTCTTTGAACAACGTCGACTAGGAGGTACAGACAGGATATAAATAAGTGTAAGGAGATTCTGCTGCGGCGTGTCTGAGACCCTATTTTTTAACTGCGGACCGCCTAATTTATGCTGCGAAGACGCTTCTCGCGTCTCCCACTCGGAACGCGCCCAGGGAGCCGCGGCCACGGGCTCGGTGGGCCGGGGCGGGGCCTGGGATGCCGCATTCCCGCGCGCCCAGGTAGCGCCCACGCCGACATCGATGCGACACGCAGCGGGCCCGGGGTCGCCCTCGCCGCTGCTGCCGCCCCGACGGACCCGCTCTTCTGGCCTGTCCCTGCCCTTTTTCTCGGCGCCTGTTTCGCCGGGACGCAGAGGCGCCGGAGCCCGTAAGGCCCGGGGGACTGGGCCTGCGCGCCACCGCCCCCCGCGAGGCTCTCCCTTGGGCAGAGTCCCGAGGCGAGCTGTGGTCCTGGACAGGGACACCTGCGCGGGGCCAGACCGCCGAGGCGCGGTGTTCACCCGGCGGCCTCGCGGCTGCGACCCGGGCCCCCGCCCAGCCGCGCCCCGCCCCCTCTGCCTCAGGCTCCCCAGGCGGCGCCAGCCGCTCATGCGCAGAGAGACCCCGGCCCGCGGGGCGAGGTCCCAGCGACCCCCCGCCCGCTTACCTCTGTGCACCAGGGTGGCCAGGGAGAACGCGACGCAGATGAGGAGAGCCGGGCGCCAGACAACCATGGCTGCAAGCACCGCGGGCGCGACAGGCCCGAGTGGGCGGAGGAAGAGCGCGCGCCGGCGCTGGCCGCGGGGGCGGGGCGGGGCCGCAGTCTCGGGGGCGGGGCCTGGGCGGGGCCTGGGCGGGGCTCGCTGGTTCCCAGAGGCTGGGGCTGCGTGGGTGGTGGGTCGTGGGTCCGCAGCCAGTTCGCGACCCGCCGAGCTATTCCTGCCCACCCGGTCTGGATATCCGAGTTCTCCCAGCCCAGAGCAGGCCCAGCGTCCCGCCGGCCGGTGACCTTTGCCGTGGCTTTCGTGCCTCTCGGGCCGGGCGTCCCCCAGCCAAAGGCTGTTCCCTAGGGTGCCGCCAGCCACCTCCCTTCCCCTGCCCGGATCGCAGCCCTCGCCCGCGGGGAGCTGTCGAGGAGCCGTGCTGGGCCACTAGCGGAAAGGGCCACCGGGGCAGGCGGGAGGCTTGCGGTGGGGACGCTCCCGAGGCTCTGGTGAGTGCGTGGAGTGCAAGTTGACAACCGCAAAACGTGCCCAGGACCGACAGCGCACTGCGGTCCTTTCCCATGAACCTCCGCAAACCCGGCCCACCTCCACCCGGGCCATAGATCCCGGCGCTGAGCCCCCGCCAGGAGCAGCCTTGGGGTCAAAGGCAGGCACACTGCTCCTCCAGGTGGCTAGCCCCATCACGTGCCTCTGGCTGTTTGGGGTTGCATCCTACCTTAAGGATGCCACTACCACCTGCCCCCCCCCCGACAGCCGGAAAACACCCACCAGAGACCTCTGCCTGAGTTCCTGCTGCCCCCTCAGAGCCCACCCATTACCGTGCTTCCTGGGATCCCGCAAACAATAACATATAGCATAAGAAGTGACCTTGGGGGTTTTCAGGAAGATGATTGTTCTGTGACAGAGAAGCACAATGAGCCTGGCAGTTCAGGCATTTTAGCCTTAAGCTTCATTCCTTACAAACCACCTCAAGGATCACCCCAACTTTGCCTTTGTTGGTGTTTTTGTTTTTGTTCTTGAGATGGGCTCACAAATGGGTTCCAGGTCTTCAACTGTGTACCCCAGGCTGTCTTCAAAATCATAGCCATCCTCCTGCCTCAGCCTCTTGAATGCTGGGATGACAAGCATGTGCCACCTCGCTCAGCTCAGCCCAGTCTTAAGGGGAAAAGATGAGCATAGCTGAGATTGAGAAGGAGCTAGGTCCAGTGCCACCACGTTGAAGAATCAGGTGCCACTAGGAAGCCCAGCCTGTGAGCCACCAGGAACCTGCCACACCAAAGGTCATGCAAGGCTTGATCAAGCTGGCCGGGGGGCGGGTTGACACCTGTCCAGCCTCTTAAGGAGTTAAAAAAGCGCTGGGCAGGCTGGGCAAGGAAGAAAAGCGGCTGTTGTTGTGGCAAGTGTGTGTGGGGGAAGCCAGAGTCCTGACCTTTATCTGAAACACCGACTCTCTGCCACACAAAAAACGTTTGTTCCATGTGAAGATGGTACTGTGCTGTTTACTGTGCTGTCCTTGGAAAATCTAACGTTGGCATCCCAGAGTTGGCAGTCCCAGAGTTTAAAAGAATAAGTGGACAAATAAGAAACCTTGGCCAGGTGTGATGGTGCACTCTGTCACTGCAGCACTAGGGAGGGAGGCCAGCCTGCACTACAAAGGAGACCCTTAGAAGTGCTGCGCTAGCCTGGCATTGTGGCACGCACCCGTCATTCTATCACTCGAGAGTCTGAGGCAGGAGGATTTTATGAGGAAACCCTGATCAACAAGCCAAAAGAAGAAGAAAAGCAAATGTTGATCCAGGACCGACAGGGGCCATCCAGGAGGGAGAAGCTGGGGTGAGTTGGGGCGGCTCACGGAGGAAGACAGCAACCTAGAGGGGGTCTGCATGATCTCCTGTCAGGAAATAATGTATATCTGTAATTTTTCCTGGAGAGGCCCATGCCTGTGAACCCAGCACTCAAGAGGCTGAGCAGGAGAATTGCTGGGAGCTCAAGGCCAGCCTGAACTATAGCTAGACCCTTCTAAGAAACAAAAGCAAACCAACATTCAGGGGCTCCCTCTGCACTCTATTTTTCCAGTACCTGGGATTGAACCCAGGGCATTCACACCGACCTACATCCCCAGTCTTTTAATTTAAAAATGTTTTCATTTTAACAGAGTCTCTCTGAGTCACTAATTTACCCAGGTTGGGCTTGAACTCGCCAGCTTCCTGAATCAGCCTTCCAGCATGCTAGAATCTTTATGGAAAGTCTTTTCATGGCATCAAAGCAGCCCAAGAAACCTGCCAGAAAAAGTTACAGAACAGAATTTATGTTCTATAACAGAAATGTGGAATGCATGTCCAATAAGTAGTAATCTTATTTTGTTCAAAAATGACTCAGTTGTTGGTGAGAGTGTAAACTGGTGCAACCACTATGGAAATCAGTGTGGTGATTCCTCAAGAAGCTAAAAGTATGGGCTGGGGATTTAGCTCAGCAGCATAGGTACAAGCGACTGCCTTGCAAGCCCACAGTCGTGACTTGAATCCCCGGTACCAAAAAAAAAAGCTAAAAGTAGAAATTCCATTAAACTCAGCTCCCAATGAGTTAAAGACATCATGTGACAGTGATGTATGTACACCGTTATCTATAACAGCACAGCTCATAACAGCTAAATCTGGGAGGCAGCCTGTGTGTCCATCAGCAGATAAGTGGATAAAAAAAAATGTATTTACACATGATGGAGTATTACTCTGCCGTAAGTAAGGATAAACTTGAGTCATTCATGGGAAAACAGATGCATCTTGAGACCATAATATTAAGTGAAGTAAATGAGACACAAGACCTTAAATATCGCATGGTTTCTCTTATTGAGAAAACCAAAGTATAGATAAATAAAACACAAGCTGATAGGAAACAGAGATCATTTGTGAATGGGAAAAGGACCAAGAGATAGAGGAGGGAAGGGAAAGGATTTTAAAAACAAGAATGAAGCTGAGTTCTACACCTGCATCTGTAATTATATGCTCCAAACATGGACTGATAAAAATTAAAGTGTTTTTAATTTTGTTTTGTTTTTAGTGTTTTTGAAAGGCTTTTTAGAGGCATGGCAATTTCTAAAACAGAGCTGTGCATCCCTGTCCCCTAGATCCCTCTGTGCTCGCCCCCTAGTTGACCCCATCCTAGTAACCAGCACCAGCTCCCAATTGCTGGAGCCCCTCCTGGTGTAGTTGCCCTGCACCAGGTCCTAGGAACTGCTACTTGCAGTCCCCACCGTTCCCCAATCAGCCACTAGAGGGAGCCTTCTCAAAGCGGATCAGGACTTGCAGGAAGCCTCCAATCTGACTCCTAAAATCCAAATCCCAGGCAGCAGCTTCCTGAGCCCTGAGATTGGATGGGCCCCTGCTTCCTGTCCAAATCCCCTGCCCACCTCCTGTTACCGCACTCCACCCTTGCACGTAGCTAGAGCATCCTGTTCCCCGCGTCCCCCTGGTTCTTCTGGCTCGAGTTGCTGGGAAATTGGCTGTCTCCTGGCCCTGGCTTCTTACTGTGAAGCTCTAGCAGTATGATCAAGAAGCTTTTTTAAAGAATTAAGGTAAATCCAGGAGTGGTAGCACTCACCTGTCATCCCAGCACTGGGGAGGCTGATGCAGGAGGATCTCTGAGAATTGAAGGCCAGCCTGGACTACATAGTAAGAACCTGTCTCAAAAAACCAAAGCCAAACAATTTAGGTAAAATGCATAAACATGGCAAAGTTAACCTTTTGAAAGTGTCCCCTTAGGTGGCATTTATGATTATAACACTGTGTGAGTGAGCATCACAGGAGCGCCTGAGGAAGGTGATTTTTCCAGATGAGTGAGGAGGTCTCCCTGGTAGCCTGAACCCCTGAAGCTGGGTCTCCCTTCACCTGCTAATGGCAAGGCCCTCCCATCTCTGGAATGTCACAGGGTGACTCCTACAGACTTCTGGCAACAGTCACCCTGGAGCCTCTCTGAAATCTGGCTCCCTCCCCGCTCCTTTCAATTCAGGATGACTCCCCCAGGAGAAAGAGATCCTCCCTGCCCCAGGCCTATACTCCCAGCACTCTGGGAGGCTTAGGCAGGAGGATGGAAAGTCTGAGCCCATTTGAGGTGTATCTCAGTGTGAAGGCCCAGGGTTCAGCCCCCAGCATTCCCTTAAGTGCCATTCAACCCACTTGGTTTCTTTTTTTGGCGGGGGGCAGGATCTCACTATATAGTCTAAACTGCCCTTGAATTCACTGAGATCCTTCTGCCTCAGCGTCTCCAGTGGTGGAATGACAGGCGTTTAACACCACCTAGTTTACATTTGCTGCTTCCAAACACTTGTCCTAAGGAGGCCCTCTTCCTATGAGTCCCCTGGCAACAGGAGTGGTTATCAGGGTTGGGCCCCTAATTTGGGGCTCCTCCTGCATGTGTGGGAGCAAGCTCCTGGTGACCCTGCTGTGCCTCAGGCCAGGGAACCCAGTCTCTCATCTCTGTGGCACAAGCACAGTGTTGGTCCTGGGCATAGAACAGCAACCCCAGCCCAGACTCTGCCTATCTGGTACCCCGGCTCCTCCAGTACAATGGCTTTGGTTTGTGGGACAATGACAGGTCCAGGTCCCACGTCTGTGATCCTAGCACTAGGTAGGCTGAGACAGGGGGATCTCTAGTTGAGGCCAGGCTTGGCTACTCAGTGAAAACCTGTATCAAAAAAAAAAAAAAAAAAAAAAAAAAACAGCAAAAAGAAAAGATGAAAGAAAGAAGTGGGGTTTTGGTGCTTTCTAGGAGCTGAGGGGAGAAAGGGCTTTAGAGTGATGCTTCAGTGGGAGGGGCGGGGCTGGCTCAGGCCTGTCACCCTAACACTCTGGAAGGTTGAGGCAGGATTGCAAATGGAAGCCCAGCCTGTGCCAATTAATGAGACATTGTCTCAAAACTTAACTTTGTTTTTTGTCTTTTTGAGGCAGAATCTTGCTATGCAGTTCAGGCTGGCCTTGAGCTCACTGTGTAGCCCAGGCTGGTCTCAAACTCTCAGTGATCCTCCTGCCTCAGCCTCCTGAGTACTAGGATTATAGGCATGCACTACCATACCCAGTTTAAAATTTTTTTTCAAAAGGCAGGGGATGTAACTCAGTGAGAGGCCCTGGGTTCAATCTCCCAACAAAGGCTGGGATTTGGCTCAGTGCAAAGGCCTTGGGTTCAATTTCCAGCACTGAAAAAAAAAATCGAGAGGCATAACTCAGTTGTGGACTGTGAGTTCATAGTCACAAGGCCCTGAGTGATTCCCAGTACAAAGCAAAATAAAATCCTAAAAGCCTAAAATGTATCATGACAGCAACTGCCTGACTCTGGGAATGTACTAAAAACCCTAATAGTGTACTTTACAATGACTGGATTGAAAACATGCATGGTGGTGTACTCCTGGAATCCTGGCACTCAGGAGGCTGAGGCAGGAAGACTGCCATGAGTTCAAGGCCACGCTAGCTACATAGCAACTTCAAGGCCAGCTGGGCTACATAGCAAGAGCTTGTCTCAAAACAACAACAAAAACAAAATGAGGATGGATTGACAAGTGTAGTTTAAAAATTGATTGTGGCAAAATACACATAGAAGTTGCTATTTTGACCACTTTTTGTTGTTGTCATTGTTTTGAGACAAGATCTCATTATTTACCTCTGGTTGGCTGTGAACTCACTATGTAGCCT